TATACATCAGATCTTATTTTATTTTATTTTCTACAGGCCCACCCAAGAATGCAAATACATCAGATTTTAAACCAAAAATTAGGTACTAGGTAATCCGAGATACATACAGGTAAAGTTACATAAAAGAACATAAAAAGCTAAAGAGAACACCTTGAAGAACCTGAGGGAGTGAATATATTTATCAGATTCTCCTTTTCCAGCTCCCTTTGGGAGCAAAGTGCCCACAACTGGGCTTTTGGGACATGTTTCTGTCCTAGAATGGGACACAGAGGTTTAAAGAGTGAAGCAATTTCTATTGATCCTAGAGACCTGCAGGAGAATGTGAGAAGTCTGCATACTGTGTTTATAAAATAATATTCCCAAATGAAACAAACGAAAATTGATTTCCAAGAAAATGTAGATGATAAGAATGCAAACAAATGTTCATTATGAAGACTCCATGACTTTTTGTCTTTCCTCTATAGTCTTGGTTTATCCATTACTAAAATTGCATTTGGGCACAGTATTTTATCAAAAAGCTCATGCAAACATTTTTGTACAAGTCCTTTAACATCTAGTAGTTCCTCCCAAAACTTTGATGTCCTGAAAAATCTAATTATTACTGGTAACTTTAAAAGATCACAGTAATTTATTTTTGTCAAATGTGACTAAAGATTAATGGATACAATCAGGAATAATTTGGTAAAAACATATCAAATGCAGAGAAAGCAAAATTTGTTGTTAAGTGAAGCATCAAATATAATAAAAGAGCAAATTCCATGAATGAACAGCAACAATGCACAATTCATTAACCAAATGCCCATGATTATTTCACACTTCAGAGGGCCACTGATATGATCAGGAATTGTAGTAAAAGGATAAATATAGATTACCTTCAGTCATCTCTTTATAAATTTTAATTATAAACACTACCCCCAGAGGGCTACCAGCATAATAAAAGAAATACAAGCTAAGGTTTGCCCATCCTTTTTATAAATCATAATTCCACATATATAAAATAAGACAGGCAATTATTTTAAGATCGCAATTAATATGTCAAGATATATTAAAAATACATCATCTTCTTAGCTATTACTAACTGTAAAAATTAAAAACCTGATCAACTTTCAGGCTCTGGAAATGCTTATCTATTCAAAATCGTCATCCTTATCATCACCACCACGAGTATCACCACCCACAGTCATCTGCTAATATACTAGCTAATACCTTGATCACTACGAAATGCCCTTCACTGCCAGAAGAAAAAGTTTATTTGTTCAATAAATAGTAATAAACTGCTAAGTTGTTCCTTGAAATCAAGGCCACATCTTACCAGTCTTAACTATTCTCAGAGTTGGTTCAGGACTTGATTGAAAAATAGTATTGTTTTAAATAGAAAAAAAAAAAAAACCACCCAAAAACAACCTAAAGAATAATTATTAAGAACATCATTGCAATGAGTTCTTCCATAAAGTTATTAAATGAAAATAAATAAAATGGAATTTTGCCATTAAAAATCATGAATACTATATACATGTATTTATATCAATAAATACACACTATTTGAAAGAAACACACTGCAAAAAGAAATACAATCTTGTCTATTCTTTAAAAATATATAAATATACAAAGTGCACAAAGGCAAACATAGTAAGACTTTTCATAAGGTGAAAAAGAATAAAAGTCACTTAGTGATTGCCTTATTATTATTGCACTTGAGGTCCTGCAATCTGACCTTTAACCCTTCCAGGGAAGCCTGGCTTTGTAACTTCATGATCCCTTATCAGCTCCAGGCCTACATTTAAACAATTTCCTTTGCTTTCATAGAATCTTGTCTCATTTTTTCTTTTTATCATTGATATCCAGTCAATTCTCAACTCTAGATTCAATGTGACTGTCTATTTCTGTACCTCTACTCTCAGTAATACTGGACACACATGCACGCGCACACACACACACACACAGACGCATATAAATGTACCACGTGGATAATAAATTTACATTTTCTAACCACAGCAAAGAAACCCCTATTTTCCTATCATATTCTCTGCAATGACATCCCTTACTCCCACCCATAAGTAGAACATCTCACCTTGTATTTGTTTAAGAATAGCTCTTCATACTCACACAAACTCTTTATGTCTTAGAATTTACCCTTTGTTTCTGTCCCTGAGAAACAAGTTTCTTACCTTCCTGCTAAAACCAAGATATATCTCTGATATCTCTTTCCCTGTATTTTCATGAGACCTTGTTCCTTATGGTTGCCTTCTACTATTAGGTAGGTACATGACATTTAAAAGTAATGACAAAAGGTGCAATTACTTTTGCACCAACCTAATACTTACATATTAAGTTCTCCCCCAGCACTGACTTTTTTTCCCTGAGTCTACAGAAATATTCAGATTACTCTTTATAAAAAGAAAAAAGGAAAGAAATCCTTGAAACATACTGTCTCCCTTCTTTATATCCTACCACACCATCAAGTTACCACCCTTCTATTTTCTTTTTCTCCACATCTCTTGAAAGCCTGTGCTCATGACTGTTCCTTCAGTATCGTCTATCCATTCCCCATCACCAAACCTAAGGCAGTATCTCCAAGTGGTCTATTCAATAAAGCCCAAAGGCTTTCTCCTAGCATACCAGACCCAGCCCTGCCTTTCCACTCTTCTCTCATGTTCTCTCATATATAGCCTCAATGCTCCAAATTACAACACAGGCTGTCTCCCACATACACTGATTCCACGCTGTTCCTCCTGTACATTTTCTCAGACTGGAACACTTTGAGCAAGCAATGTTTGCCTATTAAAATGTTACCTATGCCAAATAGCATAAGTAAAGTTTTCCATTCCTGACCATTCTATGTAGATATGACTACCCTCATCTTTCAGTGTCCATAATGGCCCTGAGCCTTTTAAAAGGCTCACATATTCTCTATCACATAATCTGGTCTGTGCAAACAAGCACTATAGAACTGTGGGCGCCCTAGTGGTACCAACTCTATCAATCATCTTTGTATGCTCATGTAGCACTTGCATATCGCCATGCATACAGCAGGCACTCAGCATATATTTATAAAACTAAAAAGAATGGCTATACATTTTAGTACATAGCATGAAAATGCCTGCAGATACCAAGAAATATACTTTCCTGAATCCTACTGGGGAAATGATCCTCTTTGATATAGAAAATTATCACTAAGTAAATTCTAATTTCTAGGAGGGGTAGTTCCAAACAAGACCTATTATGTTGGGAATGTGTCCCCTCTTTCCACCTTCTTTCCCAGGCCTTCAGGGGGAAAAAAGCTGAATTCAAATTATCTATTCTCAAAAACTATTCTCAAACTGTTCTTCCTTTAGGCCTTAGTGTATCAAGGTTAATCGGGCTCAAATTATATTTCATTCTTGGAGACAGAAAATTTTATGAAAATTGGGGTCAACTTTGTAACACAGTAGACTTCCTGTGCCTATATTTTGAACTTGTCATTATTTAGCATTGACAAAAACTACTTAGGCTGTGAAGTTTCCATGGACCAAAACCTGAGTGTGGGTCCTGTGAAATCAGTTATCTAGGGTACTTTTGTGTGTGTATATGTAGACCTCATTAAATTCATTTCATTTCCATAAGAGTAGATTCTGCCAGGTACATAAAGTAACTAAATCAAGAGTGGCTGTAGTAGTAATTTAATTGATCTGAGAAGAATTATTCCATCTAATAAGTCATTACTATTGAGTGTTAAAATATAATAAATATTAAACTTTATATAGAAACCAAAATAATCCACAGTCAAAATTCCTTGCAGCAGTATCCTACCCAATTCGAGACATCTGAGGATACTGCAACGGAGTCCTTCTCCAGGACAATTGGTTCTGAAAGTCTTTTACATTCATGTTAGTAATAGCAGCTATAATACTATCTATAATTTACTGAGCTTCTACTTTGTGTGACAAGCACCGTTCTAAATCTCTTCATGATTAACATGTAACTCTCACAACAATCATTCAGAGAAGGTATTTTTTCCTCATGTGAAAGGCAAGGAACCTTAGACAAATTAAGTCCTTTGCCCCCCACCCCCCAACACACACACATCTGTTAAAGAAGTTAAGCCAGGATAAGTACCCAGATTTCCCTGACTCCAAACTCCACGCTAATACCCATAGGCAAAACAAACATAGTATTTTATTAAATATAACATATCCAAGAGTATTGGTGTTCTATACTAAAATTTCTTTCATTACATGTCATGTTTCCATTTTCATCATGTCTTTCCACTAACAGACAGAATGACCGAGACAGAACTATAGATTAGCAATATTTTCCATTATTTATTCACATGAACTAAAGTTTTGCAAACTGCAGTCCATATTTCACTGGAAGAGATGGTTTTAAGACGTACATGAACAAAGATAATTATTTTAATAAATTACTTCAGTTTAATAAATTTTTCTACCATTGACTGATATGTGATTTCAAGTGACATAAAAATGTTTTTATTTTATATAAATATAAATATGTACTAAAAAAACCCCAGAACATCAAATTAATAAATTCATAAAATATAAAGTTTTCTTTTTAAATAAATTCATTGAAGTGAAATGAGTTACATTTCATTTTAAAGTTGTGCAGTGCCTATATTTCAAGAACTGTGAAAGTACTTCACTAAGGATGGAAAATCTGGAAACACAAACAGAAATGTGGCCTCACTATTATAGAGTGCATATTGTGTATTTATGCTGAGGAGAAAGGATGAAGTGTTATCCACATCAAGACTTACCTCTGAGCTAAACAATGGGAACACATGGACACATGGAGGGGAACAACACACACTGGGGCCTTTGGAGTGGGGCAGGGGGAGGGAGAGCAGCAGGATAAATAGCTAATGCATGCTGGGTTTGTACCTAGGTAATGGGTTGACAGGTGCAGCAAACCACCATGGCACACGCTTACCTATGTAACAAACCTGCACATCCTGCACATGTACCCCAGAACTTAAAATTAAAATTAAAAAAAAAAAAAAGACTTACCTCTGGTGACAGCATCTAGCGCACAGCCACTTCCTGTTGCTCCTCCTCCAATAACAAGGATATCAAATTCAGATGTATTTTGCAAAGTTAGTAGCTGAGCTTCCCTGGAAGGAGGCTCTCTGTTAACTGGTTCTGAAATGTAGTCTGCTGCTTTAACATAGGCCAGGTTCATCTGATGTAAAAAGCAGATCATAGTCAGTTGTCCATTTGGAATGTCAATTTAACAAATTTTACAATATACTAAAAGGAGATTTCTAATAGAAATAAGGAATATAAGAGCTAGAGAGAGTCCACAGTCTACATAGAGTTATAAGACCAACTGCCTTGGGGGAAAACAATCCTTAAATTTCTCAGTGTATTTCTTCTCATGAATCACATTATTTAGCCATAGGACACCTGGTTTCAGATTCAATATCTCAACTGCTTCATATATGGCCAAGTTCAATTATTCACAACACTGTATAGCAATTCCCAAATACCTTATTTAAGGCAATTTATAAGGGAACATAAGGAGATTTTTTTACCCAGTACTAGCAATTCATTCAGATAACATTTTAAAGTGGTGAAGGAGGAGGAAAAAGGACTTCATGTCTTTCCACACTTTCTTAGAAGTACACATTCTTCATTCCTCAGTTCTCCTGACAAAAATATATTACAGAGTTTGGGGGCATATAAGTTAAAGTCAGTACAATTAAAAAGACTTTATTTAACAGAAGGTACTAAATAATGAGCTATGTTTAATGAGAATTATATTTTTCAGAAAAATGTAGTCAAAGACTTCTATATTATTTTAATATAAAACTATGGATTTTATATATTGAATGTAATATAAATATACTATGATGTTGGGTTTTTTTTGGTATGGGGCTTCATTCTGTTGCCCAGCCTAGGGTGCGGTGGCACTATCACAGCTTACTGCAACCTCAGCCTCCCCAGGCTCAGGTGATTCTGCTACCTCAGCCTACGGAGTAGCTGGGACTACAGGTGTGCGCCACCATACTTAGCTAATTTTTGTATTTTTTGCAGAGATGGGGTTTTACCATGTTGCCCAGCGTGGTCTCAAACTCCTGGAATCAAGCAATGCATCTGCCTCAGCCTTCCAAAGTGCTGAGATGACAGGTATGAGCGACCGCACCCAGCCCATTATTACAGTTTTTGTAGAACTTCAACTGTAATAGAATTAAAGGCCTTGACACAGTCCTCCTAAAAAATAATGACCTTCCATATTTCTAGCTTTTTAAAGAATGTAGCTTATCATCCTAAATCAAAAATGATTATGGACTTTAAAAATAAGTAGTTGCCAGAAGGCAGAGTCAAAAACCTAGGAAAATGCTGTCTGTTTTTTTTCCCAAAATGCTAATACTAGGTTTGTTCACTATAGTAAACGGTACTGGCCAGCATTGCTCTATTAGCATTCCAGAGATACGTGACTTCCATTTTATTTTCTTCAAATCACAGCATCATTGCAATCCGTGATAGTGGTGTTTTTCCCATTCTGCTGCAGGAGCCCCATATGAAGCTCTAGGCCAACAGGCCAAAGCATGTACAAGAGGAAGGAATCTCAGGTGTTACCAAGAGATTATCCTCATCACCCAAAAAAAGGGATTTTTTAAATTCATTCAAATAGAAGAAACCCATTTACCCCCTGAAGTTGCATTTAATTATTATCAGGCCAATTGGATTTCTATGAAAGTAAATCTGGAAGCCATTGGGTAAATTGAAAGAAACCCAGATTAGGGTCAGAGGGTCCTAGCCTGGGTTTTAGCACTCGGTTGCCAGTAATGTAACTGTTGACTCATTATCTCTGGTTTCTTCACTTGTAAAATGGTGATAAAAACCCCTGTGATTTCTCCTTGTATCTTTGGATTATCCTCAGTCTGAATGGAATAATAATCTGAAAGTCATTGGTAAATGACAAAGAAACCACCAGAGTTGCTGCTATTATCACTCTGTTAAATAATTTGATCTTTTAGTCACATATAATTAGGAACTTTCAAAACATGTTTTACTAAATTTCATAAAAACAAAAAGTTATTATTAGGCTACAAATTCTGACACCAAACCACAAAAATCGTATTTTTCATATAGCTTCTTTTAATTATCTGCTAATAACAATGTCCCCATTTTTACCTTTATATACATTTGGTTTGTTAACTAAATAAATGTAACCAGTAGGTACCACAGAGAACATAACATATTTCAATTATGGTCTTTGCCTTCCATCATCTAATGAGAAAAAAAAATATTATACACACACACACACACACACACACACTATACACACACACTACACACACACACACACATACACATATAAATAACAAGTACATAGAAAGAATAAATGCCACACTTGAGGGAAAAACACACCAGGCTATGGCCATTCAGATGAGGGAGAGAGAGTCTTTCATTTGAGGGTTTCAATTGCGCCATGACAGATGGGTAGGACTTGGACATGAGACTGACAAGTGACTAAACCGCCAGAGCATTTTCACACATCAAAAAGATTGCTGACATTTTCTGCTTGGTAAGTTTTCGAGAAATACTTGAGAAATAAGTTTAAAGACCATATTATGATATAGTTCATTAGAACTTGGTAATACTAAAAGTCCCCTATTCTACTCGAACTGGGAACATTAATCTTGACTGAGTTTCTCCTTCATCAAGTTTGCTAGATCTGAAAGGCATCACTAGTGTGTGAGGATCTCATTCCATTAACAACACTGTTTCTCCTGTATTCACTCCTTCCCTTGTCCTTCTCATCAACAAGCTCTAACCTATCTCAGTCTCAACGATAATAAACACCTCTTACATATATATCTAACCATTCTAAAAATTCTCGAAAGACACGTAAATCTTGTTTTTTTCTACTGCCTCACTCCTTACTCCTCACACTCACCCTAATCTGAATTTTCACATACACCCAACCACTACCAACAACCATAAAACTGACTAAATGCCAACTATGCCACCAAATCCAATAAATGCACAAATGATCGTTCACTCACCTGGACATCTGGGGGACAACTCTCTCTATCTCCAGCCTCTCTGAACCACTCTCTCTTAGCTTCCTTCGTATGTCACTCAACTGCCCAAAATTAAACATCAAATTTCCTCTTAGGTCTATCCAATTCACTCTCCTCAGATCACTAAACTCAACAGAGAGAGAGAAAGAGAGAGAGAGAGAGAATCTTATGTACCCCATATCATCAAATATCTTTTATATTACAATAATGTATAATTTTGTTCCACCATTCAGGAACCAAGATTTCACACTGCCTACTTGAGACCTCCATTTGGATGTCTTACATATATCTCAAAATTGGCCCAATTACTTTATCTCCTCAAACCTTTTTCTCCATCAGTGTTCCCAATCTCAGTAAGGGTGTCATTATACACGTAGTTGCTTGTGCCAGAAATGTGCAAACAACCTTGAGAGCTCTCAGTCTCTTAAGTCCTGTATCTGCTCAATCACTGAGTTTATCAATTCCACCTTCTAAAAAAATTCCGTATCTAGCCACTTCATCTCCACCGCTACCTCTCAAATCAAGGTATCTTCCCTCTCCCCATACTAACATGATATTCTCCCAAAGGCCTTCACACATTTATCCAGCCTCCTTCCATATCATTTTCTATACTACAACTGGAGTGATCATTTAAAAACCCAAATAATGTCATTTCCATGTATAAAATCCTTCAAGAGCTTCCAACTGAATATATCTTTACTCAGGTTTCCAAGAGTCTTCATGGTCTTTTACAATGGTTAAAATTTTAAAAAAGGCCAGGTGCAGTGGCTCACTCCCAGCACTTTGGGAGGCCGAAGTGGGAGGATCACCTGAGGTCAGGAGTTCAAGACCAGCCTGGCCAATGTGGCAAAACCCCATTTCTACTAAAAATACAAAAATTGGCCAGGCATGGCGGCACATGACTATAGTTCCAGCTACTCAGGAGACTGAGACAGGAGAATCTCTTGAACCCAGGAGAAGGAGACTGCAGTGAGCCGAGATCACGCCACTGCACTCCAGCCTAGGTGACAGAGGATATTGTGTCTCAAAAAAAAAAAAAAAAAAAGGTAGGGAGGGCAACACCAAGTGCTGGTGAGGATGCAACACAATTGAAACTCTTATACTGCTTATAGAAACGCAAAATTAAACAGCTATTTTGGAAAACAGTTTGGGAATGTCTTTTTTTTTTTTTAAGATGGAGTCTCACTCTGTCGCTCAGGCTGCAGTGCAGTGGCACGATCTCAGCTCACTGCAACCTCTGCCACCCGGGTTCAAGCGATTCTCTTGCCTCAGCCTCCCGAGTAGCTGGGATTACAGATGCCTGCCACCACGCCTGGCTAATTTTTGTAGTTTTAGTAGAGACAGGGTTTCACTATCTTGGTCAGGCTAGTCTTGAACTCCTCCCCTCGTGATCCACGGGCCTCAGCCTCCCAAAGTGCTGGGATTACAGGTGTGACCCACCATGCCCGGCCAGGAGTGTCTTATAAAGGTAAACACATACCACACAACCAAGCAGTCCCTCTGCTGGATGGCTGCCCAAAAGAAATGAAAATCTGTGTTCACACAGAAGCCTGTAGGCAAATATATAAAATGGCTTTATTCATAATTGTCCTCAACTGGAAAAAAAAAAAAAAACTAAAATATCCTTCACTTGGTGAATGACTAGACAAAATGTGTATGCAATGGAATAATAAACAGAAATAAAAGAGAACAAGTGGCCAGGCGCGGTGGCTTACGCCTGTAATCCCAGCACTTCGGGAGGCCGAGGTGGGAGGATCACCAGGTCAGGAGATCGAGACCATCCTGCCTAACACGGTGAAACCCCATCTCTACTAAAAATACAAAAAAATTAGCCAAGCATAGTGGCGGGCGCCTGTAGTCCCAGCTACTCGGGAGGCTGAGGCAGGAGAATGGCGTAAACCCGGGAGGCGGAGCTTGCAGTGAGCCGAGATTGCGCCACTGCACTGCAGTCTGGGCCACAGAGCGAAACTCTGTCTCAAAAAAAAAAAAAGAAAGAAAGAAAGAAAGAAAGAATAGAGAACAAGCTACTGCTACACACAGCAACACAAATGAACCTCAAATGCAATATGCTAAATCAGGGGTCAGCAAATTATAGTCTTCAGCCCAAATCTGGCTGCTCCCTGTTGTAAATAAAGTTTCACTGGAAGAC